TATTTTCTTTCAATTTTTAGCCACGAGCCTTGGCTAATGTCAGCTGAGGAGCAGAAGCGCTACGAGTGCTTGATTGGAGTCCATTATCCAGATCGCATTATTGACCTGTCGCTTGCCTCGAAGCGGAATATGTTGGCAATGAAGGCGTTACGCAATTCCCTAATAGAGCCGCCGCCCCATTGCCGGCCCTCTAATGAGGAGGAGGTGCGTCAATTCTTTTGGCTGGCCGACTGAGGAGATCCAATGCCAATCATATTTTTATGCCTATCTGTGTCTAATTTCCTATATCAACAATAACAAAATATAATAATAATAATACATATATATATATATATATATATGTATATTTCGTGTATGTATAATAAAAATGTCGCTTGTATTTCATTAATAATGTTTTATTTTGTTTTTAATTTTTTAATTAAAATATTTACTACAATACAATTTGTATTTTCAATGTTTTAACAGCTTATAACTTTTACTCATACATATTTTATTTATGTATCCTAATTTAAAGTGATTTATTATGTGTAAATATTTATTTGTTTAATTATTTATATATAATTATTATTATCAATCGTATTACACTTTTAAATCATATGCAATTAACGTTTATTTTAAGAAAAACGAATTAGAAAATTTGAACGCGAATTAACGTTTAAAATATTTAAATTTATTTCTGAAGTTTCATTGTTGTTGGCTTCGAAAATATGGAAAGAAGTCATTTTCGTATATTCTTCCTACTTCTTGTTTTTTTTTTTTTTTTAATCTTCTAAATTTGTCGTGTACATTTGAATGCCTAAATTGTATTTGGAATCTAATTTTTGCCTTTTGTTGTAGAAAGTGTGCAATAGTTTTTGGTTACCCATGCCAATATCATGAGTATTATTGGCTTATATGGATAGTGGGACCAAAAAGGATTTATTGTTGAAAATTGAGTCCCTCGACAGTTGCTGCGAATCAAGACTTGAATAACAAAAGGGAAAGAGCAGCTAACTTCGACAATGCCGAAGCAAGTAAATTCTTCACAAATAGTAACGAGTGAAATACACAAAATAAAAAATGCCTGACAAATTATATTACCTATAAGAATTAGTGTCTCAATGATCCTATGCAAATTTAGATGTATATGTACATATATATACTATATATGTAAATGTGTATGTATAGTTTTTCTCTCATTAATTTTTCCGATTGAAATACAAATAAATTCGAAGAAACATTTAGAGCGCATTTTAGCAAAAATGTATTGCGTATATCGTATAAGTATGTGTACGTATCATACATTAGCTATATATATATATATATATGAATGTATATGTATATGGGTAAAATATGCTGAATGCATTATTCAGTCAACGAACCAACGAAATTGAACGGCAACTCACATAGTAAATAACAATTTTTTACTTTATACAAATACAAATACAAATACTATTTGTTGAATATCAGCAGCTCATAACGCATTTCACTTCAACATATAATCAAGTAATTTATTATTTCGCTAATGTGTGTGAGTGTGTGTTGCAAGTGTATTATGTACATTCACACGCATACATACGCTAGGCCACTTGTATGCATGTGTGTGGGTCTCTATGTGCGTTTACATTTCGAGTCCCTTTCGCCTGTAAAAAACGCAGCCCCATAAAATATGCAATACTTCCAGCATAATTAATTTAATATATTTTTTCGGTTGCTATCCACGCAGTTAAGCTTATGAGGTTCCATTAATTTCACTTTACTTTAAAGATACTTTATACAGCATGTCTGGTATTCATTCTCTATCAAGAGTGCCTCCAGTTTGTTCTTTTTAGACAGATATTTTAAAGTTCCGTTAAAAGCCGTTAGGTTTTTTTTTAAATGGACGTTTATAGATAGATAATGTTAGCACTTTGAGCAGAAAGTAGCGGCAAGTACTTGAAGAGTTCGGTGTGACTATAGCGCAGTTAGGAGTTGTCAAGAGGTGCCTTAAATTTGTATGTGTGTGTGTGCTTTAAATCGCGTTTTTTAACATTACATATAGATCTGGCAGTATATATAATATATTGGCTTATACAAAAATATTCGTTGATGAATTCTAAAACTATTTGATGTTAAAGTTTGCAATGGAATTCATGCAATTTAAACAATAAGATAAGATGTGGCTATCAATTGATTTAGTCGTGACACTAGCCTAATCGGTGACACGGCTCTTCCACCTGCCCTCCATATGGAAAGTTTGTAAAATAAAAGTTACAAAAGTTATTGCTTACATATAACAGATAAGGAAAGGAAGAGGAAACAAAATAACCCGTTTTATTCGTTTGGTTTCCATTGTGTGCACGTTTAAATATTTCATGATCTCTGTATTCTGCATAAAATTCAGCATTTGCCCCAACGTATTTTTAAATGCAAATCTCATACAAGACATACTCGCACACGCTTTCCATGTAAATATATACATATATATTATATATATACATCACATGAGGAATCGGACGACTCTGTGGCTAATTTGCATATGCCACAAAGTTCTTCTATATTTCATCAGTGTGTGTGTGTGAATGTGTATATTCCTATAGTTATTGCACAACATCAGTTAGTTGATTTCGACTTTTGTTTGTTGGTTTTGCTTGGCTTCGATGCACTTTTTATTCATCTCATTTAATTTCGGTTCTGTTTTGTTTTGTATACTTTTTTAATGCAATACCTTTGTGGTTTTCATTTACACGTAAACTTTATACATTGTCGGTCATTTAGTTGGTTTCATTTACATTTGCAACTTAAATGATTTATTTAAACAACTCAAATTGAACTTTTAATTATCCGATTAATAGGTCTTTCCGATAATTAACATAAAAGCGTGACTTTTAATTGGGCCGACGGTTGTGTAGGTGTGCGATGTGCATTCAAAAGCTGAACTGTTTGTATTTGTCTGTGTTAAGCCTGCTTACATTTACATATTCAAAATAAAACTTATCTAACGGGCACTGTTTTTTTGTTGCTGCTGTAAGGGTGCTACACTAGAGCTAAGCTTTGCTGCTGTTGTTGTTGTTGATGTTTTTGTGGTCATACACTTGGTGTTTGCTTTTGTTGTTGCTTGTTATAAATACATGAATTTATGTAGATTTCATTTCATTTGATTTTTATGTTAGTTTTGTAAATTTATTTATGCATTTCTTTCCATTATTCAGTTGCATCTCTTTGTTGTTGTTGTGTTAACAGTGTTGTTTTGTGTTTTTACAAGTACATATCTAAACATTTTCTACTATATTTAATCACCATCTGCACGCATGCCCCTGACCGTGCCCGTCTGGCGCGCCTTATCCAGCTCCTCCTTAACCTCATCCTCAATCGCACGTATATCGTCCATTGTTAGACCGTACCAGCGATCAGTTGAACAAAACACTTGACTGCAAGCATAGGAAATATACATAATTTAGTACATTTGATATTGAATTTGCGTTTCCTTTGCTCACCGATGGAAGTTTGTGAAGAGACGTCGCTCCGACTTCTGTATGAAATTCTCAACTCTTGTCTGCAGGCCAAACCATTTAAATTCGCATGTCACTAGCTTGTAGCAGGTCATGACTGGATCAACGCGTTTCTTCCAATCAGGTCCCAAGAGAGGACCACGTCCAGTTTTTTTTGACTTGTAGCTGCAGATAAATTTGATATAGGGTAAGCAATCAATGTTATATTTAGATATTGATCGAAAAATTACTTCATTTTATGAGCACTTTAATTAACACTCCGTATATATCAGCAGCAATGTGCCGAAAGAGTAGATTATCTGTATTTCGCACTTACGTCGTTGGATCCTCTTCGGGCTTGTAGTCCGCAGGCAGAACCGAATCATTGGCAATGTCAATGTAAACCACCTCGCGGAGCTTCAGCTTTTCTGGGGGGAGTTCGTGCACCTGTAAGCACAATTACACAATATTTACCGTTTAGAGGACATTAAGGACAGAGGAGTAACATTTAAAGCGATCAAGATTTAGATAGACATAAATTAGCTAAGTAGGAAATAATAGGGACATGCACATCTAACAAATAGTGAAGAACGCAATGATTAAAAGAATGTTAGATAAACGCAAATGTAAAATGAAATAAAAGGTTATACCCAAAGCACTCACATTATTACTTTCGCCACAATCGCCGGAAAAATGTAATGAATCAACATATACAAAAAAGTTGTGATTCATAAAGCGAGGATTCTAATATTGAACAGCCAAATTATAAACAGAAATGCACACGCACATCAAAATAAACGCACCCAATAAATTTTGAATTGAAATTCCATAATCAAAAATTGGCGAATTTTGAAATGATGATTTTTGAGTTTTTGAAAATTGTTTTGTTTATGCATTTAACAAATATTGTTAGTATTTATGCGTATTTATAGTGTAAGTAATGGAAGAAAAAGAAAGAAACACACGAATTAGTCAATTTATGAATTGAAATTTCACTTACATTTTCTGATTCTCCCGAATCGCTCACGTGCAACGTGTCGATGGTTATTTTGAAGGCATCTTTCATGAATTTTGGATTCTAGAAGAGGCCGCATAATAGTCAAGTACAGTTTTGTTAATTATAAATCAGATTTCACACTTTCCCCATCATACATGGAACCCATTCGGAAATTTCAATTTAAGCTATGTTTATTTAGAATTCTATTTTATTTATACATATTAGAATATTCTCATAAATATTTGATCGATCAAATGATTCGTTGAAAAATGTTAAAAAATAACTACATTTTATGGGTATTGTGGGTTCTTCAATTTTTATACCTTGACCCCATCGAAAATGAAATGTATGCAATAGGCAGATGGAGGCGTGGCAGATCCCTAACTGGGTCGATATGGCGTGTCCGTCTGTCTGTCCGTCCGTATGAATGCATAAATCTCAGAGAGAGCTAGAGGGCTGAAATTTGGCACGCATACTCGTGTATACCACAGTACAAGTTGATTTTTCGATAACTCGTCTGAAACCTTTTTCCGAATTGGCCTAATTTGAGCACTTTTAGACCTGGATACTTCAGATTTATTATGTATATATGTACATATGATGAATACAAACATTTTGTAACTTATAGATTTTGGATACCACGCCCCTTTTGCCCCTAATTTGTAAAAACAACATATTTTAAGTACTAGATACTTGTGCTTTGGAATATACACACATTTGAACATTATGATTATGTTCTGAAAGTTTTATTAGAGTTGTCATGATTTTGTTATGATTTTGAAAATTTATTACATTTAATTGTAGTGTTTTATTATTTATGTATATTAATACAAAGCCGACGAAAGTTGTACTCTAATTTTAAGATTTTATTATTTTTTATAATTTAGTTTTTTAATTATTTTTAAGATTCTGAATATTCACTAAATTTAATGGTAATCTATTATTATTTTTTAATAAAAATTCAAATTCTTTAATTCTATTAGTGTTTGGGTTAAATCAAATTTAATTCACCTATATTTTGATAAGGAAGTTTGCACGAATTAAGATATGCACGTAGCATATA